ATGGCGCACAAGCACAATCTTGGCATTGCCTGCTTCATCGTAGAGATCCAGCGTTGTTGATCGTTAAAATCGTTGTATCTGCTTGCAGCACCAGAATTTATGTCCCCAACAAGGGCAGAATTAGATCAAATAGCTTTCGCAATTCCGAATTACTCCTTTGGCAAGCGGAGCTTGCAAGAGAGTTTTTGGCACTGCAAGCAGTTTTTGGCAAGCGGAGCTTGCTGCAAGCACAAATACATTCTTTGTTGGCGCAGCAGCTAATGCAGCCTTCGCTAGCGCTTCACACACGCTGTGCTTCTGTTTGGCTATTTAGATTACCGATCCGTGTGTGAATACTTCAATGGGGGGCTGCAAGCCGCAAGATCTTATTTTCTTACTTGACGGCTGCTTGCCTATTGCTATAGCCGTTGCCCGCCTAAGCGGGCTACCGAAGCCTTTTGGCAACGCGCTTCGCTTGCGCCAAGTTCCGCTAGCGGCTAGCCAGCTTTGCTGGCCAAGCACCTAACAAATAGCTGCTGCGCCCTTTTGGCAAGCTCCGCTTGCTGCAAGAGCTGCTGCGACAACTTGTTGGCAAGCTCCGCTTGCTGCAAGCTCCCCCAAGAAGAGTTTTGGATACATTGATGCTACAAACAAAAAATCTTTTGAACTGGCACAGCAACTTAATTTTCTATTTGTTGCCAGCGTAGCTGGCCAACCAGACAAATCTGCTAGAAGTTGTTCATATATTCATTTCTGCTATCTTTTCTTCTTAAGCAAACGCCTTTTGGCAAGCCATGGCGCACAAGCACTATGTCTGCTCAATTGTGTTTGTCTCTTGCAGCATAACCGCGTATGTGGTTATGCTGCAAGCACGCCGATCTTGTAGTCTCTACGGGGTAACTCCTACCTCTTCTGTAGCTGTCTTTGTGTAAGTTAGCAGAAATGCTAACAACTTACGCAGCAGCTTGTTGGGCTCTTGCAGCTTGTAGATCAGCCTGAACCCGCGCCAACGGCCTGCCAACCGTAGCTTGGCTATAGGTAAGCGGGCAAGTTCAGCCTACCTACGAGAAAGCGTAGGTAAAGCGCGTACGCGGTTAGCATAGCAGCGAAGCTTCTGTAGACAAGAGCTGCTGCGCCAACAAAACAGCAAACAAAGCAGAAGACTACTTTCCTCGGGATTGTTGGCTTTTTATGAAATGCTCAATATTTACCGATATAGCTGGATACGCACTCGCACTTCACAATGCGAGGGGACACCTTTGACCTATATTTTATGAGCGGGTCAGATCTATCTAATCCCATTCGCTCCCCACGCTTTCGCACATCAGCGTCAGTCAAGCATTAGAGAGCTGCCTTCGCTTTTGGCGTTCCTCCTAGTATCTACAAATTGAACCTCTCCTCTAGGAATTCCACCCTCTTCTTGCTTACTCGAGTCTATATCTTTTTTGTAACAAGTGCACTTCCTAAAATAAGTTAAGGGATTTCACAAAGGTTATCTTGCCATGGCCAAGCTTCGCCAAACGGCTCTTTGCTGCTAAGCGAAAAGCTTATTTACAATG